GGAGTGGCCAGGTGTGGGCTCCAGGTCAGTCGGGTGGCCAGGTGTGCACTCCGGGTAGCTGGAGTGGCCAGGTGTGGGCTCCGGGTAAGTGGAGTGGCCAGGTGGGGCCGCGCGGTGGCTCGGGCAGCTGGAAGTGGCCAGGTGTGGGCCCCAGGTCAGTCGGAGTGCCAGTTGTGGGCTCCAGGTCAGTCGGAGTGGCCAGGTTCAGGCTGCGTGTCAGATTGAGTGGCTGAATGAAGATGTGCTCTGTGTCTTTGTCAGTTTTTTCCCAAGGCCCGGAATTTTTCCAAAGTATTCCATGATGACACTACCATGCAAGGCAGTTATAAGCGAAATACTTCATGGTGCACAATGCACAAAAAAAATGTCCACAAAAAATTGGAGAGCCTTATCTATTTGTGTTCTAAATCGACTGCCACAACATGGTTATGGAAGTGACGAAAACACCTAAAGGTCACTGACGGCAGGGCACGAAAATAACGGCGGTTACTGAGGGACAGGTGCCGGTCGCCGGAGCTATGTACCTAACAGGTATCTGGTCCAAGTCCTAACACGTCCAAATAAGGTAACTAACAATCCTAACGACTGTTAGGATATTGCATTATAGCACGAATACTACAGTTCAATATCAATTTTCATCTTCTCCTTTAAAAAACATTCTTTGTCCATAGATTACGGACAAGTGATGCTCCAATCACCTCCTGATCCGGCTTTACACTCTAGGCCCGGAAGACGCTGAATGTGCTCGGCCCGTATGGGGAATGTCACCAAAAGGTCGCTTGGTGTCCTGGTGGCATCGAACGAGTATTTGAAGCGATGTAGTCCTGCCGATGTGAGGGAACTTCGTTATGATAAACTTAAGGAAAAGTGGCCCGTCCGCGTGAAAATATGTACGAAGAATCCATTTCATCCCACAACAATGCTGTTTGGATAGGGCGAAATGTCCCCTCCTCTCCGACGTTAGAGGGAGCGTGCCTGCCCCCGGTGCCGCGGCCCCAGCTTAGACGTTTTATTCGCTTACAGTTATTTAGATTTAACGTAATACATATGCATATATTCGGCCAAACTGCCGGCTTATGAAACCTTCAAGTCCATCAGATATTCGTGCTGACTCCATTCTCACACCATCAGACGTGTCACATTCATGCGTTACATTATGTTAAACGTGCACACATGCCTTTTATGTCATAACATGTAAGTGGTATATCAGTTTCGCGTAGATGCTTCCTTCCACCGGTAACTCAACGATGCTGTTTCCAGATCGCATGCCAGCAGAGAGAGTGCTTTGATGATTGTGCTCAAGTTTACCTGGCTGCTTTACTGTGAGTAGCGCCTCGAGAACGTAAGAAACCCACGGTGCTGTAGCGCGTGTGTTTGCGATCTGCGAGCTCGGGCTTCTCCATCTGACTGGATTTGTGCGTAAAGTGGAACACATCGGACCCGGAGCGGCGTTAGCCATAAGACAGACGCGCCAGCAAAGCGAGGTGGTTTGGATTGCAAGGCCGCTCACTATCAGACTTCAGGGTTGCTGTACCAGACCAGAGCGTGCGGACCAACCGTCGGGCGAACGTTCAAACGATACCCGCTGTGGTGCCCTGTACACGCGTGCAGCAGACTCAGAGACGGCGGCTCCCGGTCTCCCGACTGTCATGGTGTGCGGGCTGGCGGGGTTAGAGCGGCTCGGCGTCGGGAGGGGTTACAGTGACAACTGACGCCGCGCCGCTGCCAACCGCAGTTTTCGTCTCTCCGGCGCTGGTGATCATGACCAACCGGCTCAGCGAGAAGCGGCAGGTGCAGTCGGCGCTGCAGGGCATCCTCTCTGGCGTGGTGCTCATGTTCCTCCAGCTGGCCATCAACAGGCACCAGCTCGACGTCAGGGTGAGCACGCACACGCCGAAACAGGTCTATATCTACATATATATATATAATATATATATATATATATCTATATATATATATATATATATATGTGTGTGTGTGTGTGTGTGATGCATCTATACATTACAATATGTGTGTGTGGTGTGTGTGTGTGTGTGTGTGTGTGTGTGTGGGTGTGTGTGTGTTTGGTGTGTGTGGGTGTGTGTGGTGCATATATGCATATACCAATAAATTAATAATATATTATATATATATATATATATTTGTATTTATATAGGAAATTAGCGGTTAGTTCATCCAGCGCTGTTTGTTGGTTAAAAATGAATCGTGCACGCCATACCTATGAGCAACAGCGTTAATGGTAACCTTTGTTTAGCCTTAAGGGCCATGATGTAGATATGGCAGTAGGGAACCTCAAAAGCGAAAGCGAAACTAGTTCAAAAGCCGATACATAGGTGGCATTAAAACCAACACTGCAACTGTGAATGTAGGTATGAAGTATACAGAACACAGTTCATATTATATTATTAAACTGGCAGCTGGTTTCACAAACTGGTCGGTCCTGCATATGATCTAAAGGGCGCCTATGATCGCGGTGGGTAAAATCAGGCGAAGACCACGCAGAAAGCAAAGCGTGTGTAGTGCGCGAACGCGTGAGAAAAAAAATGGTTTGACTGCGTCCACCCTCTCGTAAGTGGAATGCGCAAAAGCGTGGTTTCCGTCGCTTGGATAAATTGCGTCAAAGCATCTACGGTAAAGTTTTGTGATAAAACGATGAGTCTTCCTTTGCCGGGGATGACATTTTTGCAAATAGGATACTGTACTGAATTCCCTGTGGACAAACAAGGAAAGATGAAAGATGGCGCGTCAGAGAAGAGTGCGAAGGGAGAGGGGAAGGAAAGTGAAAAAGGGAGGGAAGTGAGGGAAGTAAGAATGAAAGAAGAAGTGACTGTCATGTTAGGCATCGCGTTGCACCGCTAAAACTGGATGCAAAATCGTTCCAACTCCCCTGACTTTCTGGGACTTTCTTAGTCCTTGACGAATGCGCGCGCGAAGGTAGCATATATGGATATAAACGACGAAGGCATGTATGCGCAAATATACGGATATAGATGTACTGTACAGGATAATGCGATGAGAGCTGCATGAATCCACGACGCCCACGCCACAAACCTACATCAATCGCTGCCAATTCTAGTGTGTTCTGTGTGCCACCGCTATCGACTTAGCCTCTGAGTCGGCACGTAATCTGGTGTGTTCTGTGTGCCACCGCCATCGACCTAGCCTCTGAGTCGGCGCGTAATCTGGTGGCAACTGTCAGCGTGACCTGAGCCCTGACCTCGGCTGACCTCGGCCGGGGATCTGGCCGGCAGGTGGTGGCCGTGCAGGTGGGCACCAGCGTCGTAATGGGCTTCTCCAGCTACCTGATGTACCAGCTGCACCAGTGGGCCTGGTACCGGCTGTTCATCTGGACATTCTTAGGTGGGCATCCCAGCGGTGGTGCAGGAACTATACCAACCGTCTGTGTAGAGCAGAAGTATATGTCTTATTCACCTTGGTCCGGGCCTAAACAGACGCGTTCCCACGCAGAGGCCATGTGTGAAGGCGGTGCTACCTGTGGTTGTCAGACAAAAAAAAAACACTGAGACACTTACAGCCAGCGCGATCCATACGCTACTTTGACATTGGCATTGCATTTTATTGGAACAAGTTTCCACACATGCCAACATGTATATTCCAAGTCTGTTGTCAGAATGATTTGTAAAACAAACGAAGTGGGCGAGCAACACCATGAATAAGAGCGGAGAGAGTCAGCGACACATACATTATGACAAACCTTCGGTAACCGTTCACCCTATATTGCAGCACGTTGTCTACGCGTCAACCAACAGTTCCTTAAACCGAGTCATAAAACATTGCAGTCTCACGGCAATGTCCGGGCCGTTAGTGATTTAAGACCTGCGTGATGCCCTTTTTGTCCGCTTCCAGGCATGCTGGTGTACACGCTTTACGGCTACCGCAAGTCGCACCTGGGGCGTGGCATTGTTGACCTGGCCGTGGTGCCCCACGACGAGTGCGTGCGCAGCCTGGAGGGCGGCCTGGACAACGCCGGCTTCCAGCACGAGCTGGCCGAGCTGGGGGTGGGGCGTGGCCGACGCTCGCAGCGCAGCTTCGGCGGCCACAGCTACGGCAGCGCCCGCTCACGCCAGAAGGCGAGCTTCCACAGCGCCCGCGAGGACGGCGACGGCCGCGACAGCTTCCGCAGCGTGCGGGAGTCGGACGAGCGCGGCCAGAGCTTCGGGAGCATCAGCAGCGCCCAGGGCTCGGGCGACCGGCCGGATGGCGGGCGAAGGCGATATAGGCAGGAGAGCTTCCTCAGCCTGGAGGAGGGCAGCCAGCAGCTCTCTGAAGCTGACCAGAGCCGGGGCAGCTCACGGGTGAGCTTCGGAAGCGTGCGGGCCGGGGACAGGCGAGGAAGCTTCGTAAGCGTGCGAGATGATGACAGACAGGGAAGTTTTAAAAGCTTGCAAGACGAGACTAGCCAGGAAGGCCGTAACATAGTTAAGGACGAGGAAGAGACCCTGCAGTCGGGCGACGTGGAAGCGTGGGAGATGCGGCCGGGCGACACCGGCGTCCCGGCCCGTGCGGTGGGTCGGCGCCGCGCCGCTGACAGTGGCGGCAGTGGACGGCGGCGGTCGGATGGGGCGCCGCCCGAGAGAAGACGCCGGCCGCCCTCAGGGCGTGACTCTCCGCCCTCCGGCCGCCGAGCAACGCCTGCGGACCTGGTGCCGACCCCTCCCACCGCCCGCCGTCAGAGCGTCGAGATCCTCATCAACCCGCGCAGGCTGTGTGAGGAGATGTACCTCTCACGCGCGCCACAGGCGCCGGTTAGCTCTGAGGAGAGTGTGGAGATGCGACAGGCTGCCAGCGAGCTGGGTAGGTCGGCGGAGCGCGCAGCGCAGCCGGTCCAGAGTGGCCCCGAGTCCACGCCGGCGGAGCTGCGGTACACTGGAAGGCCTGGCTCCCTGTCCAGCTCGGACGGGGACGACGACAGAAGGGCGCAGTCTTTCGACGACGACGCAGACAGTGAGGGTTCCTGTCGACGACCGAGCGGCGGGTCGGCCTCGGCGTCGTCAGCTAGCGGTCAGATGGCGGTCAAGGTCGGATCCGGCGTCGGCGTCACGCCAGCCGAGCTTGAGCCTGAGTCGAGCGCACAGCTGTCCCTGTCTCTGTCGGACGTGTGGTACGACGACGACGACGAGCTGGCCTCTCAACCAGCTCCAACCACCTCGCCACCAGCTGATTGAGGACATGAGTGAGCAGATCTCGGCGCACACGGGCGATGACTCGGACGACACCGCCAGCGGGTCGAGCAGAGGCAGCATTCGTGGCAGCGGCGTCTTCGCCGAGGCGGTGCGCCCCTGCACCGAGGCAGTCGTAGCCCGGACACATCGCCCGCTTCAGCGTGACCAGCCGCCAGCTCCTGCTCAAAAATCGTCAGGCCGGGATGCCCTAAACGACAGAAAAGAGCCGCGGGATGCTGAGAGAGCGTCGTCTGGCATCAGCGGCGCCGACAGCGGACAGCAGAAATCCCTGCCAGCCCACCGCCATTCTGAAAGTGGACAGGCTCAGGCGGAGGCCGAGCTCACTTCTGGAGGCTTCTCAGATCACTCTTCTCATAGTGAAGAGGAGAGTGAACTAGCCTTCGGAAGGGACATGGCACAGTTAAAGCGCGCCTCCAACCATTCTGACAGTGAGCAGAATGGTGGCCAGGACCAGGTACGGAGCTGGACACAGTCCGCCAGCGACTCTGACCATTACAACAGTGAGCAAGACAGAAAGTACGACAGAGTGCGGAATACAGTGCGCCCCAATAACCCTCCACTTCATTTCAGCAGCGAACAAGGCCAGGCAAGAGACGAGCCTGACTCCAGCTCTGCTACTGCGTTAGACGACTCAGAGAGTGAACAGGAGCTGGCACGGGACGCGGTACATTCAAGCAATGCATCCAACCGTGCTATCAGTGAACTGAGCCGCGAACGGCACGACGCTCATCCCAGCACCGGCCTCGATTACTCAGTCGAAGGGGATATTTCGCGGACCAAACCTTCGTCCAAAGATGGGGCGAAAACTGATAAGAGCCGGCTCGAGCCGGTAGGCACAACGCGGCCGCTGTTTGAGACGGACTCGGACTCTGGCTCGGAGTCCTCGGGGGCCGACTCTGCCAACGGCCTGTCGTCGAGCGACGAGGACTTCGGTCCGAACAGAGGCTGCCGGCCTGTCGACGACAGCAGTGTCACTCCCGTCGGGCGGAGCGGCAGTGGTGAGGGCTTGGACTTGGAGGCCCAGCTGGTCGGCGCGCGGCCGCTGGTGCGACCTCAGATGCGACTGCCAGCCGTGCCCGCAGCGTCGCGCCGGCCCGCGCGCACGCCGTCGCCACTCGCTGTCTTCGGCGCGGCGGCCTCCGCGGATGGCCGGCGTCCTGAGGCGGTGAGCCGGAGCCGGAGCCAGATCCGGAGCCGGAGCAGGAGCCGGAGCCGGGGACGCGGCCACAGCCTGCCGTCCCTGACCACCAGTGAGAGCGACAGCAGCAGCGACGACGGCGGTTCACCGGTGGCGCTGAGGCGGGCCCGCTCTCCGCAGCAGCAGTCGGCCGGCCGCGTCGCCTCGCTGCAGACGGCGCCGGCGTCGCGGCCGCGGCCCACTGCCGCTCGACTTGGGAGCCTGCCTCCGCTGAACCCCGACTATCGCGCCATCTATCTCCCGGCGAAATCAGCTCAGCTTCTGCACGGCGGCGTCAGTCGCCTGGCTGAGCGGCACGCGCGCGAGACGATGGTGCACGACGACGCCGAGCAGCGCGCGGTCAGCTTCGTAGCGACGCCGCCAGGAGTGGAGCTGAGCGGGCTCGACTCGTCTGGGCTGTGCGTACGCCCCGAGCTGGATCGGCTGGCCAGCCGGCTCGCGACCCGTGACGACCGACGATCCCCGGCGGCGAACGACGGGCGTGGAGACGGGGGCCGACAGCGAGAGGTGCCGGACGGAGAGGCGACGCCCGGAGATGGGCTTCAACGGCGGGGTTCGGCGAAAGATGACGTCGTCTTTTGCTGATGTCTGAGCAGCACGGATCCTGGAGCGTGAGAGGGAATCGTAATCGGTCCAGGAAATGACGCCGAGGCATGTGGAAGAGTTCTCACTGTAAGCTGATGCTACGTATTCGAAGTGCAATTTATAATATGGATCCAAGGCAGAATCTGCCAAATGATTGCATGTGCTGGAAGGCGCCGCACACGGTAGTGGTTATTGTCACAGCTGTTTAGCATGGTGGCAGTATGGCGGTATCTGAATAGCAAACACGAAATCATTTTCAGTCGACGAGTGGTTCAGTTCCTCCTCAACGTTTGCTGCTGCTTCTGTTTGGACTAGCGATCATCAGGTTTGCTTCATTGTGAAATCCCGGCAGCTTACGTCAAGATCTACATGATGTTCTCCCTTATTTACCTATTGACTGCTTTTCGAGCTCTTAGTTTAATCAATTCCCGTTGACGCATTATTAAAATTTTAGAACCGATCTAGACCCTTATCGCGTTTGTCTAGCCCTCTGTGCTGTCATGCCGTTAGGTCTGTGTTGTACCAGAGCAGGATCCACAATATGTCTAAATATATACACGCATAAGTTTTTTATGTTGAGAGCAAAAGCAAAATGTTTGCGATACGCAGCGAACACAGAAAACGACAGCCATTTCACTTGACGGACAGAAAACGCGGTTTATTCCAGCGTTTTCAACGCGAGGATCGCAAGTCCAAGAATAGAAATCGATCCCGATCCATGAATTCATCTTCGCAATATACATGCCCCCTTCGGAGTCCGCGTTTTCAGCTTTTGAAAATGTAATCACACGAATGTTATGACTTCCATATATAAAAACATAAAATGTTAATCACCTGGAAACTTACATGGCATTGTGGTCGTGTTCGGTTACATAGTGGTTAGTTTTCGGCACGGGTCGGAGCGATCGGAATCCTGACAATAACAGGAATGTATCTAGCCGAATATCTTCTTTAGCGAATGCATTTGGCCGAATGCTGTTTGGTCGACGCGCTTTCTTGCCGTTGTGTCAATGGGGCGCGTTATCCGGGTGCGCCTTGTTATGCGCCGATGCTTTAGGACATCACCCTGCGCGACATTGACGAGTGACTGCACCGAGCCGGCCGCCAACCACCGGCCGTTTGGCGCAAGACTCCATCGAGCCTAAGGCCCTAGAACAGACATCGAGCCGGCCGCCTAACCACCCGGCCCGTCTCGCGCAGCGGAACGTGTGAAGCCGAATTTAAACTGGATAAGAATGCGTACAACACGAAGCCAGCCATTTTGGTGCGTTTTTTAGACGCGGGAGGCCGGCAGAGGGACAAGCAAATAGACACGAGGAGAGGAAACAAGGCGCTATAGAGGGATTTGAGGACGTTTAACAGCAAATCTAAAGGACAGGCTGAGATTTTAAAATTGATGTCTTCATGTCAACTTTAATATGATCAAAACGCCTAACGAAAATCCAATTTGTCCAAATGTTTCTGGTGCCCTGGACAGCTCCACCGACTGCGGGGGTATACATCCATGTGTCGGTAGGAAGGGCCATGTCATAGGAGTGTCTGCAAAAAGGGATGAAGTAACGCAGCCATGTGGTGTAGAGAGAGAGGGCGATGGAGAGAGAGAGGAGAGAGAGAGAGAGAGAGAGAGAGAGAGAGAGGAGAGAGAGAGAGAGAGAGAGAGAGAGAGAGAGAGAGAGAGAGAGAGAGAGAGAGAGAGAGAGAGAGAGAGAGAGAGAGAGAGAAGGAGGGAAAGAGAAAGAGAGAGATATACAGTATAAGAAAGAGAGAGATAGATAGCATATAAGGATACCACATCCCACTTCCATCTCGTTATATCCTGGAATTGCTGGAATTTCATACTGATAACTAGTATCGGGCTGCTTGGTTTGAGTCAACTCTCCCCTCACCAACTGGGGAAGAGAGGCCGCATAAACCTCGGCACCTCCTAGACACTGTTTATTATTGTGGCCACGATAGCAATGGTCGGGCAACAAATAACTGTTGTCTGTTAGTGGGCACTATGAGTTTGGAGTTCTTTCTGACCTAAGTGGCCTTCAGTTTACCATGAATTATTGGTTAAACGACTTAATTAAGCAAACATTGGTTTCGATGTTAGAACTCGACGTTTTAAGCCGTACTAAGCTTTTCGTTTTCATTTTTCTCTAGAACGAGGCAGCAGTTAACTGCGATAGTAATGTCCTCACTCAAGGAGATGCGTACGAATGTAAATGCTTCACCTTCGCACTTTCAATTAGCCTGGGCTGTAGCTGGATTAGTCTGGATTGTAGCTGGGTTGTATTGTATTGTGGCCGCATATGGTAGTGGTTATTGTCACAGCCTCACAACCTGTGCGATTTCGCACAGGTTGTGCCGCAACGTTATGACCGAAAGCGATGTTTCATTTCTTTGTGCACTCATGGCGTGCATGTCATTGATGCGGGGTCAAGTTGCCAGAGGTCTTCAGAATTTCTTAATTATCCCCGCGCACTTTTGGTTGTGAGGAAGGAGGAATGGGCATTCTCAGTGTTGACGTAGGACAGAATGGATTTGCGTAGAACAGCTTGACGTAGAATGGATCAAAACTGTCATTGGTGACCTAAGCAAGCCCCTTGCTCCGAGCTTTTCAGTTTGATATCACACAATTATGCGCGCATCTTGGCCTAAAATGTATGCAAATGATTGCTTTATTTATGCCCTCCATCTATACAGGTGGGTTGTTCCATGTAGGTACACTGTTTTACAACGGACATACATGACCACTGATCGGTGGGTTTCTGGCTCCGATCGAAGGCAAGGAGGAAAAATCTTTCAGAAAGTTCAACGGGCATGTCGCATTATCACCATAGTGTTGTTCGACTTCCAGTGGCAGAGTCAAGCCGAGTACACCAGGCTGGAAGATCAGGCTGTAATAATGAAAAAGGCTTGAGCATCGCCGGATTAGGATCGGTGGTTTGGTAATGTCGGAGGTCCAAGTCCAGATGCAGGTTCCTATGTCCTTTCCCTTGTATCATCTACTGATTTACCTCGGCAAGCGTGATGAATTTACCGTGGAAAGTTGAACGAAACGTACGATCGATCGCGCGTGGCCAGAAAAAGCTCAGGTGATTAAGCCTTTTTCAACAATATCTGCAAGACATAAATGATGAACTACCTGAGCAAAATTAACGCAACCATTGAAAAGTATTGTATTGATAGCGCCAGAGACAAGATGTTACATGCCTCTTCGACTCATGCTCCTTCAGACCAGCACCTCGATAGAAAATTAAAAACCCAACCCTAAGATAGAAGCATTTTAGATGAGGCTGTCATTACACTCTCAGTTCACTTAGTTCGTGGTTAACCGGACGTGCGAATGCTTGGAAATCTGTGCTCTGCCTGACTTCCGAATTGCAACGCAAGCTGGATTAGCCTGGGCCAGTTCAAATAGGCACTTAATGCCTCAGGTGAAATTAAGTGCATATGCCTAACTCTATTGCTGAGCTTGTCAACAAACCATTTTCTGAAATGCCTCCAAAGCAGGACAAATAATGCAGTACAATCGCTTCCTCAGCACCATTGCAGGGTAAGCAGAACAAGCGATCAGGTCAAGAGTAAGTTCGGTTGGAATGCTTTCATGCTAAGTTAGTGCGTCTGATATTACCTAACGTCTTGCGCAGTCAGAGAAAACGATTGTTTCACCTAAGGGACGGGAAAGAACCATTCATTGCTTTCATTTTAAACAGCCAACCTCGAAATCGAAACGCCCTCCAGTAATTTTACATTTTGACATGTCGTTTCATGCATTTCTTTATCACAGGCGTTGTCAAGCGAGATATTTAGTGGCCCAAATTCGATGCTAACTTCATATTGCAGGTAAATCAAGTCTTCGGCAAAATCAGATCCCCGAAACTCCTTACCTGAGGTCCTAGCCTGGGAGTACGAAATTTCAGCGCCCATCATCATCAGGCAGGTATACAAAAGAAAGATAAAAGGAAAGGGGAGAAGACACAGCTATTCTGCTCTTGCAACTGCCGGCCCCGGACTAGCGGCGCGGCTCAAAACTTTACACTAAACAAACAAAACAATCAACAACATCAAACAAAACTTCCTACAAAACTTCCTGCGCAAAGGGCATTTTTGTATCGAGCTGCAACTGCCTGGAGCCGCCTGCCATCGTGCGTCTGTGATGCCACAACACTCAGCACGTTTTAGACCGCCATACGTGGTGTAATTTTTACCACTGACCACTGGCCACTGCCCATTGATTGATCTGTTTCAGTTCTTTCGCCATTGCTCGTACAATTTTATTGTACCTTTGTCCGTGTCATTTTGTTATATACCTGTTGTGTGTGCCTAGTTATACTGCACCTGTATGTAACTTGAAAACGGCCTTGACCTGAAACCGTTATAGCCACCACGTGGATGGTTTCCAGCATACTGATACTGATACTGATGCTAGTTCTGACCCTGTCGCTACCATATAGTAGCGGTATGGTGATTGAATGGGGTACCGATAGATGGTGCTGAATGAAAAGGCGCCAGGCAGAGTGGGCCAGCTGCCGGTCTTTGGAAGGTGTTTATGGTAGAGTTTCAGATACTGTTTTGTCAGCCCCTGCCTTTGCCTCTGCGTAGAAAGCTATTGTGCAAATGGTTGGTTAGCGACGCGCCTGGATGGCTGACATACATAAGATCATCAAATGGCGTGCCAGTGGGCCGCTTCTTGATAATTATCAGCGAAGCGTAAATGCACGCTTCATTTTGTCTCGCCACAAGCGTCACATCAAACCTGACGTACAATGTTCTTGGACACACATCAGACGTTTATCCGGCTTTAAAGATGGCGCATGCCCAATACCCAGGTGATCAGCTAGGTCACTCAAGCGCAGTAGGATCCAAATATCTCTTCGCGGTGTTTCGGTTGGTCTACGCGGTCCAAAATTAAAGCCCGGATGGACGTTTGGTGCCTTAGGCTTGTTTCGCCAGGTGGTCATCAATAGGCCCACAGTCGCACGCATAGGTCATGGTTTATTTCTGGCGAACTTTGGTGTCTAAATCATCAGCTGCAAGCCAGTAAAACAGCCGTGGATGACTTTGTGATTGGTGTGCACAGCGCCAACGCATGCTGGATCGTTTATCTATGGCACAAGGTGTATGCCATGTTAAACAAGGCAGCTCACTAAGTTCATATATATACACAAAACAATCGAGTCGGATCACATAGGGAAAAGCGTGTTGCGCATCATTGCGGGATGCGATTGGTCCGACAACAGACGTTCACCACATCTGCTATGAGCACATTTCCTATGCTGTCCGTCTAGCCCTTCCCAATGATATCACATATTTCAAGGATGCTGCGCACGGTTCGCCTGCGCCGTACATGGGCTTCAGGCTGACGTATCTTAAACACATGTTCAAAGGCATAGCCTAGGTTTGCCGCTACCTTTCGCACTAGCCTTCGTTTTGTTTGAAAAGTCAGAGACATTTTTGTCCCAAAAAACTTTCTTTGTTCGCTTTCTTCCACGGTATCACACATTATCTTAGTGGGCGCTAGCAACGGCCGCTGCAAATATGCTCTTCCTTCTCTATGAAAGTTCCTCATCCGACGTTTTTCGTCTCCAAAATCTTTTTTGCTTCGTCTCACTATTTGAATCGTCGGATGATTCCGGCTCATTTTCTTCCTTTTGTTTCCCACGCTTGTCGTTTTGGGACATTTCACCTTGGTGAACACCAGCGTATGACACCGGAAAAATGCTCTTCCTTCTCTTTGGACCCGGCTCCTCTGGCCTTTTCCGACCCCAAAAGCTTCTCTTTTCCTCTTTACTTTCCTTGTTGTCTCGTTTGAAAATGCTCCTTCTGTGCTTTCTCTCGTCATCTGATCCGTCCGATGCATCGGATGATTCCGCCTCGCTTTCTTCTTTTCGTTTCCCACGCTTGTCGCTTTGGGTCTTTTCATTTTGGTGAACGCCAGCGAGTGGTGTCGGAAAGAGGCTCTTCCTTCTCTTTGGAGCCGGCTCCTCTGGCCTTTGCCGACCCCAAAAGCTTCTCTTTTCTTCTTTACTTTCCTCGTTGTCTCGTTTGAAAATGCCCCTTCTGCGCTTTCTCTCGTCATTCGATCCGTCCGATGCATCGGATGATTCCGCCTCGCTTTCTTCTTTTCGTTTCCCACGCTTGTCGCTTTGGGTCTTTTCATTTTGGTGAACACCAGCGAGTGGTGTCGGAAAGAGGCTCTTCCTTCTCTTTGGAACCGGTTCTTCTGCCTTTTTTCGCCCCCAAAAGCTCCTTTTTTCCTTTTCATGTTCCTCCTTGTTTCGTTTGAAAATGTTAATTCTGTATTTCCTCTCGTTATTCGAGCCGTCTGGCTTTTCTGTGTCACTTTCCTCTTTTCTTTTTGTCGACCTCCATTTTCTTTTTGCCTCGTCCTCTGAGTCAGTGTCGCTGCTGGCATCCTCTCTGTCTCTCTGAGCCTGCTCCTTCGCCAGCTCACGTTTCGTCTCCCCGTCCTCCGAGTCAGAGCTGTCCGAACTGGTATCATCCAGTCCAAACAACCGCACGAGCCAGTTGGATCTGGCTCTCCGCTCTTCTCTCTCTTTCCTGACCTCGTCGTCCACGTCGACACCCCTGAGCTTGACCCAGCCGGACGACAGCAGGCTCTCGTTGAGCGCCGCCCGCCGGTCTGCCGCCTTGAGCAGCTCCTTCACATGAAGCTGCTCGCTGACACACACGCCGAATAAGAAGGCAAAGATCAGGATGCCGATTGCAATCATTGTCCAGCCTATAAAAGACAGTCGCGGATTCTCATCGCCACGAAACATCATCGGTACCGGTAGGCCAAAGATGTTGGGTGTCGTGGTTTCCAAGCGAAGCTCGATCGGAATGGTCGGTGGCAGGTACGTTGGGCCCTCGGATGATGGCGGACCCTCTATGTACGTCCTGCCCACGCGCAGAATCTTCTGTGGGACATCCGTAAACACGACCTGCAGCTTCAGCTTTATGGCCGCTTCAAGGAAATCGATAGAAGGCTGAGACCATTTGTATACAACATTCAGGTACATGGATAGCGCTCGAGTTTTGGAACGCAAGGAGAGCATTTTACGTTTTGTAACTTTGGTACCGACATTAAATATGGACGAGAAGCATTCGGTGCGTAAGCGGTTGCTGCTGTCGCTGGTCCAGAACAGCTTAAAGAATAATCTGCAGTCAAAAATGTATAGTTGAGGAAGAACGTGGGTCACAAACTCGTTTCTATGAAGGAGCTCAATGAGCTTTCTCCTTTGCACCATCAGGACACTTGGGTCAAGCCTGATGATAGGTCTTGTCTTGGCTTTAAGCGTGTCGATGATGATGGTACAGAACTGCATGTAATTAAAATTCATGTTGGCGTAAGATCGTTGAGCGAAATCTAAGTCCATGTTGGCTAGGTCTATGATTCCCGGGTAATGCCATTCTAGAAAGCACTTGGCCTTCTCCAGCAACGGAAATCTTGGCCCGGTGGAATTCTTGCAAGTAGGTCCTGTAAAACCTGCAGGACAATTGCATGTACACTGTTTAGTTATGAATCCGTAGTTCGCACATTTTGGAGCGATTTGGCCATTTTTAGAACAACTTTTCTTCCAAATATCTAGGCATTTATACGCAGAGTTTAACATATACAGATCATAGTGCGATGGTCCCATGCCCCGCGACCTATGATAATCCACCATCCATTGGCTCCTCACGTCCTTGGTGACAAATGTGGGACGGATGTCGTCGTCTACAAACGAAAATGTTCCATACTGTTCAACAGAGAGGAAGTCATATGGCGTTGGAATATTCATAACTTGCTTGCTGTCGCACCGCAACCCTTGTGTCCACGTACCACGCAAAGTCTTCTCCCAGCTCTTCGTATTTGTTATTTTGAAGTTCTCCCAGTTGACTGAGATGGATTTATCTCTATCTGGCCGACTCTGCTGGTGCTGAAATCCCAGACCGTGGCCAAACTCATGTATGCAAGCATCCAGCTCACAGTTACTTGCCACCGATATTCGTTGAGGCTTACCCTTTCCGGTCTTCGCACCGCCCCAGTGGGTTTTACCGACAAATGACCAACAGCCGCCGAAGTTACCAACACAGAAGGAAGGTTTTTTCACAAGATCATTACAGCTGTTGTAGCCGATCTTCTCGAACCGAATGCAGGTGGATGACGACCATGCGCGTGTTGCCTGCTCGAATAGCGGCATATCGGGTCCACTTGCCTCATCGTAAAAGTAGTATATAACAGTATTGCCATGTTTGTTGCGCCAAATACTGTGGATGATGTTTGATGATGCGCTGCGCTCTGCAACATCCAAGAGTTCGGGGAGGACATATTTGGCCGATATAGCAATGTCCTGCTCGAAAATTACCACGGGCATGTCATCGATGGGTTCGAAGATGTCATAACCACGGCTGCGCAGTAATTGCGCAATTTTACTGAAGTTATAGATAGGAGAAGTTGCATGGCCATCATTGTAAACGGAATACGCTTCATCCCTTCTTTTATCTGCATTCACATGATCCCGTCTCAAAAAATGCGTATCATGCTCTTTGACAGCTTGTGACGTACCGCTGTCTCTATCGAACCCATGTGTAACGCACGCTGCGAGTAAAACTGTAAAAATGGTTTTCATGATTCATGGCTTCAGATCAAATGAGTCCCTTCCGTATGTAGATTTTGTTTTCTTGGTGGTGGCAACCTACCTCAAGTACGCTTCTTGATCATGTGGGAAATGTCTTCTATGACTACTCATGGTGCTGACCGCCGATGCTTTGCATTCAACTTGCATTTCGGTGCAAGGGTCAATACAGCTGTGATTAGTGGTTAGCCTACAAGGCTAGGTGGCTAGCCCTCACGCATTTTTTCTAAGCTCATGTTGTCTTTAAGCCTATGTGCACCGTTCAGATCGACGCAAGAGATCTGCGAGATGCAAAAGAAATCCTCATTCTCTCCACAAATAAGCACTGACCACTTATGCCGCTTATGCCTCGCCTGACATATTTATCGTCAGTCTGTGCACGCAACTTTCAGGCGAGGGCTCCTTCTATAATGGGGCATTTCACCAATGTACTAACTCAAATAGATAAGACAGCACTATTAGCGTACTCCTCGTAGAATAACCAGAAGAAAGGAGACCTGGCTTTCTGGATATTTCGGATTCAAGTCGTTATCGAAACGAATGATACCACCCAATACCAATAAAGCACCATCACCAGCACGGTACCAATAACGAGACAATAATACCATAAATGTACTAATCCACGTGCATCAACAAACCACTGAATCCAAGCCCGACCAGAACCGCATTCACTCTTTCTGTGTGGGCTGTGCTCTAGTTTTGTAGGTGATTGGAAACAAACCGTGTTGGCTGCGTGGTTATAGGCACTGGGATATGGCGCTGAAGGTCGGGAAAGGATTTCCACCGCAGGAAGCCTTCACCGGAAAAGGACTCTGGGTTCAGCTGTAATGTAGCGACGCTTATTGTCTCAGCAAGATGTGTATGAGTGTTTCGCAAACCTATTAATTGACGCATACTACTCTCAAGGGATCAATATCATTTATGTGCTCGCCTGCGACGAAGCAAAATCTGATTCCAGAATCTTTTCAGGTTCGGCCAGAATCGGGTTCGGATTTAGGTCCACTGGTCATTCATCTCATAATCTTATGCCGGTGCCACCAAGCTGGCATGAGCATGAGTGTGTGAAAGGGGTGCAGGGGCAAATTATCACCGATTCAATGTACTACCAGCATTTGGACACCTGCAAAATATATTTGTCATGGGCGATGCAAAGACGAGAAACTGGTTACTATCATCCGGGCCATGGCGCGCGCGGAAAAACACCCAGTTGCATCATCACAACGAAGCAAAAATATCGCCGAGCCGCAAACAAATGCAACGACCCTCTTGCATCGTCGCTAGCGAACCTCACATCGTCGCTAGGGAGTCTTACCCCGCACAAAGACCTGACTTCGGAGGTGGTGCAGGCGCTCTGACTCTGACCTGACTTCGAAGGTGGTGCAGGCGCTCTGACTCTAACCTGACTTCGGAGGTGGTGCAGGCGCTCTGACTCTGACCTGACTTCGGAGGTGGTGCAGGCGCTCTGACTCTAACCTGACTTCGGAGGTGGTGCAGGCGCTCTGACTCTGACCTGACTTCTGCCACGGCGGTCGTGAAGCCGACCCGTGGCTGACGGCCGCAGAATGCTGCCGGCGAGTCGAGTTGCGGTGGTTTAGGACTAAGCAATGAAAGAACAAGACAGTGCGGACCGCTGAGAGAGCTTTGCTTCACCGTGAATTTTCCACGGAGGTTATCTCTTGTGTAGCATAACACCACCGAGAGAGCTGCTGCACCTGACAATTCGTTCCTTCCTTCCGCAATTTAAACGGCACGCATGTGGTTTTAGCGCGAAACTACATGGAAAAACACGCGTGCATAAAGTACGTACACCATTGTTTGTAAGCAAATGTACGGTAATTACAAAATTTGCATGACAGAAGTATGTGCGCAAAAGTTCGCAAGCAAATATTTGTATGTGTTAAGCAATTGTACGGCCGAGGCGGCCGGGAGGGGGCGGCGGTCCATGGCGGTTTAGTCCCCCCCCCCCCCTTCTCCTCCTGCCGTCAGGTTTAAGCACAGTTTTCCACCATAACATTACTGGATGTTATTCCGTTTTTTGATAATCAGGAAAGCTACTTTGGTTAAATCACATAGACACTACCGTGTGCAGTGGTATGTAAAGCCCAGCAACCGTAATTTAGTAACTAGGCTAGTGGATATTCGAGTGAGTGTGTATGGTATGTAGCTGAAACAATGTATGTGAAGTTAGCGATTTATTCAGCGATTTTTACAGCGACAAGTTCCCATTTCCTTGAAAAATCGCTTCAAGGTCAATTGTGTCGTGAGAACACCAAAAATGACCCTTGTTTTGCAATATCATGTGACCTTCCCGGTCAAAAGCTGGGTCAAAGGGCGGGGAACTCGATATCACCCAAAAATTACCGGCCGATTTTCAACTTGCAAATGTCAGAACATTCAACACAGAAAAAACTAGCATCCGTCAAAAAGTCTTTACCTGTCAAAGTCACCCTTCAAGGTCGCACGGGCTCAAAAGCCGGGAAACTCCATATCACCCAAAAAATTACCGGTCAATTTTTAACTAACGAACAGCAGAACATTCATCACAGAAAGAGCTAGCGTCCGTCAAAAAGTCCTGACCTCTCTAGGTCACCCTTCAAGTTCAAAGGCGGGCTCAAAGGATGGGGGACTTCGTGTCACCCAATAATCGCCGGACGATTTTTAACTAACAAACAGCAGAACATTCATCACGGAAAGAGCTAGCGCGCGTCAAAAAGTCCTGATCCCTTAAGGTTACCCTTCAAGGTCAAACGTGGGCTCAAATGACGGGAACTCCATATCACCCAAAAATTACCGGCCGATTTTTAACTAAAAAACATCCGAACATTCACCACGGAAAGAGCTAGCGTCCGCCAAAAGTCCTGACCTCTCAAGGTCACCCTTCAAGGTTAAACGCGGGCTTAAAGGACAGAGAACTCTATATCACCCGAAAATTACCGGCCGATTTTTAACTAACAAACAGCAGAGCATTCATCCTAGGAAGAGCTAGGGTGCGATGCATCTAAGGATATTGTTGTTTGCGCATCAGCGCCCCCCAAGCTCACGTCGGCTGACGGCCCAGGCAGGGCCATCTAGTGAAATGTATATACAATGCAGTGTTCGTTTACTCGCTACCATATTATGTTGCCTACCGCCGACTGTACGGCAATTATTTTCATGTTCATCCATGCACCGTGGAACGAGACGTTCATGCCATGAGCCCCACGCAGCTCGGTGTCCGCTGTGATTTTAGTGCAAAAGTGACTGGGTTTTATTTCCCCGCGCGGTCCAGGTATGAGCTCCTTGAATCACAGCGCAGTTCAGATATTAAACAGAGTTTAACATCCACATGCGCTGTGAGACACCTGCCGTCTATGTCGCGCGCACTACTCAGCAACGTTTTGCTCTGCAATAGCTGTCTGGCTAGACGTTTGCTATGCACCAGTTATCTACCTCCAGACGTACTGTCTTTGTGTGTGCGTGCGGGTCCGTGCGTGTGTGTGTGTGTGTGTGTGTGTGTGTGTGTGTGTGTGTGTGTGGTGTGTGTGTGTGTGTGTTGTGTGTGTGTGTGTGTATCTGTGTGTGTGGTTGTGTGTTGTGTGTTTGTGTGTGTGTGTGTGGGGGGGTAGGGGGTAGGGTGGGGGTGTGGGTGTGGGTGTGGGTTGGTGTGGGTGTATGGTGGGTGTTGTGGGTGTGGGGATGTGGGTGTGGGTGTGGTGTGTGTGGGTGTGGGTGTGGGTGTGTGGGTTTGTGGTGGATGGTGTGTGGGTAGTGGGTGTGGGTGTGGGGTGTGTGGTGGGTGTGGGTGGTGGGTGTGTGTGTGTGTGTGTGTGTGTGTGTTTTGTGTGTGGGGTGTGTTGTGTGTGTGTGTGTGTGTGTGTGGCTGTGTGTGTGTGGGTGTGGTGTGTGTGTGTGTGTGTGTGTTAGTGTGGTGTGTGTGTGTGTGTGTGGTGTGTGTGTGTGTTGTGGTGTGTGTGTGTGACCCCCAGTCTGTATTGATTACCCTGGTAGCCACTTGGTTTTTGGGGGTCGCACTGGGCGTCTGAGCTGTGGCGTCCCAACCTCGATCACGCGTCTGAATACACGGCCAGGTGAAAGGTTTGCATTTTACTTTATGCCATGGCTCTCCGTTACGGTGAGGAGGGTGTGGATAGCCTCAAAAGGCGAAGTCTTGGAGAGCCGAATAAAGTGGAGATGAGCTGGGACAGATACACCGCAATCACCAACACATTTGCATTCTCTTCTTATTGTATGCTTCTCAAATGTTATACAATCACCCATGGTCAGAGACAACTATTTCAGGGAATTATACGACGACAAACGTTAAACTCGGCCGATCAACCTTAAACGTCACCACAAAACATTGAGTGCAGAGCCATCAAAAGAACAAGCCGAATATCACCATGGAGGTTGACCTCAAAAGGCATGATTTTGACGAACGCTGTATCTGACCAATGTTAATGTTCTAACGCTTCACGAGTCGAAACAAGATGGCAATTTGTAAGTGATCTTGAGCTCTCCGTCCTTTGAGTTCTTGTTTTACCTTCAAGGGTGACCTTGACAGGTCAGGACATCTTACGGACGTTAGCTCATGCGCTTGTGAATACTTTGCATGCTTATTGTTTCAAATCGGTCGGTACTTTAAGGGTGATTTAGAGTCCCCGTCCTTTCAGCCCGCATTCAGCCCGCTTTTTGTGGTGAATGTTCTGATGTTTGTTAGTTAAAGATCGGCCGGTAATTTTTGGGTGATATGGAGTTCCCCGTCCTTTGAGCACGTGTTTGACCTTGAAGAGTGACCTTGAGAGATCAGGACTTTTTGACAGACGCTAGCTCTTTCTGTGGTAAATGTTCTGATCTTTGTAAAATAAAAATCGCCCGACAATTTGTGGGTGATATGGAGTTTCCAGTCCTTTGAGCCCGCGTTTGGCCTTGAAGGGTGACCTAGAGAGGGTCAGGACTTTTTGACGGACGCTAGCTCTTTCTGTGATGAATGTTCTGCTGTTTGCTAGTTAAAAATCGGCCGGTAATTTTGGGTGATATGGAGTTCACCGTCCTTTGAGCCCGCCTTTGATCTTGAAGACTGACCTTGAGAGGTCAGGACTTTTGAACGGACGCTGGTTCTTTCTGTGTTGAATATTCTGACGTTCTCAAGTTGAAAATTGGCTGGTAATTTTTGGGTGAAATCGAGTTCCTCGTACTTTGACCCAGATTTTGACATGGAAGGTCATATGATGTTGCAAAATAAGAGTCATTTTTGGAGTTCTCATGCCGCAATTGACCTTGAAGCCATTTTTCAGGGAAATCGAAACTCGTTGCTGTAAAAATCGCTGAATAAATCGCTAACTTCACGGACATACTGAAACAAAGGTGCCAGAGAAAACCAACATTGATAGCTCACTGATACGCTGGGTACTGTACCTGCTAGCGTTTTTGGGATCTGCAAGTCCGTTCGCAGTGCGTATTTATTGTCAATGAGACTCGGAGACGCTCTTTACGTCCAGCCCCCATCGCAAATCATGGTCACTCCCCCCCCCCCCCCCTTCTCCGTCGCAAAGCAAGTTAGCCCCGCCCCCTCCGTTGAGAAGGCTGGCTGAGCCCCTGGCTTCCAATATTTTACACACGTGAAACATTGGAAAAGTTCGCATGGAAAAAGTTTGTACACACAATGTGCCAACACAAATGTTCGAAGGCATTGATCGCATAGCAGCGTGTTCGTATGGATAGTACTTATACGGAGAGTGTTTCAGGGTAGATCGATCACCCGGGTATCAAATGGCACACCATGAACTCTCAAAGTTCGCTGACATGATCTCTGCCAACTGATCTCGGACATGACATCGACCGTATAATTTCTAGCTCTATCCTGCGTACAGTTTGCAAGTAAAAGCCTCGGGCATTGATGGGTCGGTCGCAAACGGGTGCGCGCGGGTGCCAGCGGGCGCAGTGCGGGAGCAGCGGGTGCACCTTTCCCCTGGACTTTAAGCAAGTAATCCGGGTGTCGTCGGAGCTTTTGCCCCCCGCATTCCACAACCGAGCGACTCCCGCCGCAGCCGTCAGCTGGCGTCAGTGGCGCGCTCAGCTGGCGTCGGTGGCGCGCTCAGCTGGTGTCAGTGGCTGGCGTCCGTGGCGTGCTCAGCTGGCGTCAGTGGCGCACTCCGTGCTCTGCAGTGAAGAGTTTTAATTTTTGATCCTACGGTCTCAACCATTCCAGGGCCATTTTCAACTGTTCTCATTGGTACGAGTTTATCTGCTGGCCGCCGTTGGGCATGCTAGTGCCATAGAGAGTAAGGCTAGCCATGAAATCTGAATCGACAGATGCCATTATCACTGTCTATAAAACACGAGTGCATTTAATATTTTGTGTGCGCACTTTATCAAGCAGGCTTTAATTTAGCAGAAGCTTAAATCCTGAGAAATGTACTAACTTTTCGTACTTACATGATACACCAGCTTACTGAACTTTTGGGAAGGTACTTTTGTCAAATGAACTTGGCGAACATTGGCATAATCATTTTGCGTACTTCATCCTACGGTGACATACCAGCATTTGCGTACGTGCTTTTTGTAATACGGACCTCATCTCTGACGATTATCTGCGCACGAACATTTGCAACGATCTTTTTCCGTACGAACTTGTGCGAGCACAAACACTTATGTCGCAAATCTTTCCTCAACGAACAAGTTACCACGCGAACCTTATCGTCTACGATTTTTTACATTACGAACTTTAGACACTTCCAACTTTATGCTCCTAACACTCTACCCGGACGAGCCTTAATACACGGGTTTAATTCTACGAGTAGCTGCATGCAAGATTTGCACATGCGCATTTTCGTCTGCAGCCCTATGTATGTGAAGTGTATGAGAATAAATGCAGCGCGGCGCCACCGTGTGCATCAATACTATTCGCGCCATCTCAGCGGTACAGTTCGCATATGCCAGTCGACGCAGCACTGGACCTTTTGAAAAGCCGGGACATTACGCAAACACATTTACCCGCCACATGTTCGCCAAACAGCCGACCTGTCTGGGCTATCTCATCATTGTGTTCTTCCGCATGCATTTCAGATATCTAATCATAAACATCAGACCGGAACCAGCGGTAAGCCGTCTCTGTGCCCGATGCGTCAAACCCCGGCCTGCTTTGTCATTTTTTTTTTCTTTCTGCGTGGAACACAGATTTCGAAAAGTTATCATCTATTCTCAATTCAAAAAAGGCATGAACCTCATCGCCATTTGAATGATAAAATCTCGCATCAACACATAAGGCGTAAAAGTGTCTTCTAGGGCCAAAGCGCCTCAATCAAAATAACCTAAGCCGAACTAACCTGTTACGCCGGTGCTGCACACGCGAACTGAAAGCATTGAGAGCGCCGTATGTTTCGGGGCACACTGGTGTCGGTGCCCCTCTAGCTTCGATACTTCATGAATTCAATAACACCCATTGAGTGTGGAGACAATCCTTCAATGACTGCTGTAGATGCGTCGCCAGATCTATCAGGCGCCCTAACCTGCACCAGCGACTATGCGGGCTGCTGGTTTACGACGAATATGGCCAAAAAACTGAAGAACCTCAATACATATATATATATATATATATATATATATATATATATATATATATATATATATATCCTTGTAGAATAACAAGGAGAATGAAGAGATATGTGTATTGATATTTCGGTCACATGCCTTCATCGAAATGAATTTCAGTAGTCTATAATGTACTACTGAATGTCACAAGTAGGAATAGGCTAAGAAGACGCTACTGATAAATGTTTCGATAAAGCCATGCAGACGAAATGTCAATGCATTTCTCTCTCCATTTTCCTGACTATTCTATGAGGAACGAGGCTGTTAGTACTGTCTTATTTATACGCATAATGCTCCTCGCAAATGCGCTCAACAGCTTACGCTGTAAGGTCTCGCAAAATTGCGGGCCCGTGACCAATATGGGAGGCGCCTGAGCGGCAAAGTGGGAAACCATTTATGCTTTGCTCGATCGTAGCATGCCGATAGACGACGCACAACAGGACCCCTTGTTCCAATTTGATGGGGTTGAAGTGCTGCTTCATTTTATCAGGGATTCTTTACCGTTGAACGCAAAACAAGATTAGGTACGTTTTGGTACGCTTAATGCTTTGAGGCGTACCTTAAACGCAGCCTGTTTTCCAGATGGCACAGGCGTGATCACGGTGGTGCCCGTCTCAGACCGCTCCAGTGTTATTCCTTCGAATCAACCCGAAATAAATGAGGAACAGCAGGAAGTTCTTTTTATTTAACAAAATGTCTTAAAACAACTTAACAAATAATATTTCCAAAGGCGTAATACGAATACGGCAACCACAAAGTAGACACAAGGACTCTCTTCCGTGAATGTACAGACCGCTCGCAATCCCAGTCTGTGAGCTCCGACACGCACCGCGTTCGTGCGGGAATGCATGATATTTATCGATCTAAGTCATTATCACCGGATCCACGACATAATACGAAGAAGCGAAAATTTCGAAAGAAACCCGGCCTTCTGTACAGAAGTTTCTAACGTTCCTCAAAGTTCAAAACATCAGGACAATTTAGCACGGCGGTAAGATCTGGGCCGCATCGTATGATGATTCCTTTCTGTGTCGGCTAACAGCACGAAACACAACAACAATCGAAATCCACGGACAATAAATGCAAAACACGGTAGCGTTTACGCATCACACAACGTACGCGCAGGCCGTATGCAACACCATACACTCAAGACTGACCAGCGCGCAGTACAGCATATGCAGCCGACATAGCCCAGCGACGGGAATAACTGTCACGGACAGCGCACACGTGGCAGCTGCCACCCGCCACTACAGCCCGCGCCGCGGAGGCGGCGGCGGAGGCGTGTCCCTCCGAGCCCGCTGGCTCTGCCGCGACCCGACGGCGGCCGAGCGGGCGTCCCGGCAGCGCGCCTCGCCTGACCGGCCGGCGGCAGCGGGCAGCGGGCAGGAGCAGGAGCAGGAGCAGGGCGGGCAGGGGCCGCTCTCCGGCGGCGCCCGACGCGTCCGGTCGGCTTCGCCACCGCCGCGCGCGGGCGGCGCGCCATTGCGGTGCAGCCGGCGGCGGCCCGGCGACCGGCTACACGGCCCACAGTGCGTTGTTGAGCCATAGCCAGTCGATGAACACGTCGGCGAAGCGCTCCTCCTCCGGCCCGTCCGAGTCAGAGTCATCGCTCGACGACGGGTCGTCGTGCATGACGGCCGGGTAGTCGGGCGCCGGACTGCCCTGGCAGAGCTTGACCCGGTCGTCGTCCGGCTCGGCCAGATACAGCTGCTCCAGGTCGGTGCCGCCGACGATAAGCGACAGGCGGCGCCCGGCCGGCAGCTTCGACACCAGCGAGTCGTACAGCTGACGCGAGATGCACTGCACGCAGCTGACGTCCAGCGAAGCCAGCGACCGACATGTCATCGACAGACTGCAACGGAGCGTCACACGTCACTGACGGACCGCAACGGAGCGTCACGCACGTCACCGACGGATTGCAACGGAGCGTCACATCCGTCACCCGCGGACTGAAATGGAGCGCCGCACGCCACCAACGGACTGCAACGGAGCATCACACCCGTCACCGACGGACCGCAAAGGAACGTCACACGTCACCGGCAGACTACAACGGAGCGCCACACACGTCACCGACGGACTTGCAACGGAGCATCACACCCGTCACCGACGGACTGCAACGGAGCATCACACCCGTCACCGACGGACTGCAACGGAGCATCACACCCGTCACCGACGGACTGCAACGGAGCATCACACCCGTCACCGACGGACTGCAAAGGAACGTCACACACAGACTACAACGGACGGTGGCACACGTCACCAATGGACAACGGACAGGCCATAGCAGGCGAAACAACTGTTACTGTCACGACTGAAGCACAGGGTCACACGGTCCATAGACCGACCGTTGAAATCTCCCCGTTGCGTCACTTTGCACACGGCACAGGCAAGGCACTCTTTCTACCAGGGAGTCGAGGAGCAGCAGATGCTGCGAACAGCTGCACTTTGTCGGCCGACTACCCGATGTTCCGACTGCCGCACCACCACCGTGCCGGGCATGGGGAGCGGCCGGCCCCGCGGCCCCGCACGCCTGCCGCGGCCGCCGGCACCACTCACTCGAACAGGCCCTTCTCGGTGAAGGGGCGAGCGGGCGCTGTAGTTCTCCCGCAGCAGCAGCGTGGCGAGCCGGGCGCAGTTGGCCAGGCTGCGCAGCACCTCGTCCGTCACCTCGTTCTGGTAGCTGACAGTCCAGCCAGGAGAGCAGCGGCAGCCGACAGAGCAGCTGCAGGCCGGCCGCCGGCACGTACTTGTGCGAGGCACCGCCTGGCGGGCAGACGGGGCGGACCGGTCAGTCAGCGGCGGGCAGTCAGAGTCGGGCCGGGGTCACCGGCAGGCGGCCGCCGGGCTGGGGCAGGACGCGACACGTCGCGGCCGCGGCAGACTTCACAACAGCGAGCTGTATAATATCAACACGACCGCATCCGCCGAGTGCCCACTGGCGCATGCGCCCCTGGCACGCGGCTGGCGGGCAGTTGGGGCCGCGCAGTGCTGAGCGGCCCCTGCCGCCGGCTGCCGCCCCCCCCCCCCCTTCCCCGCCCGGCGGCGGCGCACCTCGCAAGTCCAGCCGCTCCAGCTTGGTGCAGTAGCTGACCAGCGCGCGAAACGTGTTCTTGTTGATGTTTGGGCAGGCGCCGGCAGCCAGTGACGTCACATTGGGCATCAGCTCGAGGAACTCCTCCGGCTGCACCAGGTTGCAGCCGCTGATGTCCAGGTGGCGCAGGTTCCGACACCTGGGCCAGGTCAGCTGAAGGTCAGAGGTGATACGGCCGCCAGCCCTCCGATGTCCAAGACACGTCTGCGCCCAACACCGACCCGCAGGGTCTGCCCTGCGACGACACAGTGCGCCCACATCCCGCCCGTCCCCACGCCGGGTAGGTGGCGACAGCCTGGCTGTGCGTCGACATCGCATCGTCAAAAGGTGCCACGGAGACAGAACTGTCTTTCCAAAGCCGCAAAGGAGATCGCAACCGGCGGACAATTCAATCCATGCCCGAATGGGAAGACCACCACTAAAATGCTAAAAACAGAAACTCCACACAAGATGTGTCCTTTTCCACCCAACATCTCGAGCTCTGACACAACGCAGCCCGGTCCGCACCAGCCACTGCCCCTCGAACCCCACCCGTCGCCACGCGCGCGGCGGCGAGCGCGGCCCCGCACCTGGCGGCGATGTGTTTGATGTCGTGTGACGTCACACGCGTCTGGCTGAGGCAGAGCTCCTCCAGCTGTGCGCACCGGTCGCCCACCAGGCAGAAGTTGTGCTCGCGGATGCGCGGGCACGCGCGCAGTGTCACCTTGCGCACCGACGCCGGCAGCAGGCTGAAGCAGTCTCCCGTCACACTGGTGGACACCAGCTCCAGGATGCGCAGCTCTGTCAGGTACCTGGACGGGGCCGCCAGCGGCGGGGTCACGGAGGGCAGCTCGGGGCAGCTCGCGGTGGCCGACGTCCGGGGAGGGTTGCCCGTGTCGAGGGGAGCAAGAGTGTCCGGGTCATGTTCGGCGTGTGGGTGACACGGCTAAAGACGTGCTGTTTATTCCCTGGGCATGATCGCTCCGTGAACTATGGCTACAACGCCGACACAGTGACGGAAACAGCTGCGATCGTGAAGCCGTATGACGAAACATACACCCACACACACCTTGCTCATTACCAGGTGACGTCGGCCGGAGAGATAACAGGCCGAAACCTGGTGTAAATACCAACACCCTACACATGGGCGACCGTCCCATCATTACGCAATCCATGATACCAGTACTTCGTCTCAAACATTCCGTAAAACGAAGAGTCGAAGTTAAAGTCACCTCTACGAACCAATGCTCCCCTGCTATTGGTAACTGCCCTCCACCGGACGCCCTCTGTCAGGCCGGCCGACATCGCGCACTCACTTGAGCAGCACCTCCAGGTTCTGCTCCTTGAAGTTGAGCTGCGGTACATTGATCCGCTGCAGCCGGGGACAGTTGCGGCACAGGTTCTCCAGAGCTCGGAACGACATCCGCAGGCAGCTGATGTCCAGGTCAATCAGCTGCGGACACAGCTTGCCTGCCGACACATGCGACAGACGCGAGGACATCAGTGACTAGAACAGCAGCGACCAAGTGCAAGGGGTACCTCAACATCGGATGGGCGCAGCTCGCACTTATGCCTTATGTGATACAGCTCATGCGACGTCCTACGTGATATCGCCACACTTCGTACTCGACTTACGGCGCTAGACGGCGCCAATGTCTGTGAAGCGGCTCAGCAGGACGTGACGGGCGTCCCGGTAGCGCACGTGATTCAAGTTGAAAATCAGAGCACCTCCGCTGCTTCAGACTGCTTTGAAATGACCTCAACGGTTACTACGTGATATCGCCGCTTATGTCTTGCGGCTTGAGAGCAAGGAAAGCCACGAATGTTTGCCCCTCCAGTGACATCACTGACGTTTAGCGATGTCATCAAATAAAGTAACATATGGCTGCAGAAAAACTTCTATGGAAGCAAACAAAAGTTATAAAAACAATTTCCACGAACTCATTCTACAGTTCACATAACCTGCAGACCGCAACTTTCGATTTTTCTGAATGCCTCCTTGACGTCATATGTACAGATGATTTTTACACACAGGGCTGCATACAGATATAAATATTGCAAAAACCAAACAAAAACGACCGAACAAAAGCCATCGTGAAAAATCCGTTAAAAATGGTGACAATCACGGTACGGGAAACGGTACTGTGCAAGTCCCCTGCAGTTGTGGTCGCAAATTGCGTCTTCTTCGGATAGATAAACAAACCTACGCCAGCACTTTTTCCAGTCTTGGCAACTGTTGCGCATTTGATCGCCAGTAACTGTTGGCTGTACTGACAAGTGAGTGAACCTATGGCAATGAAGGACTCATGAGGACTCAATGAGGCAATGAAGGACTCACACTTTCTCATGCATCACTGCATTAATCACGGATATTGATTGCGATTTGTGAGGTATGATTTTGTGTAACCCAAGAAAGGTTGAGTGCAACACACTCTCACAACAATAGCCGAATGCAGTGTGTTTATTGAAAGGACTGTTCTAATTGACGCTCAATGAAATCCGGCTAAGGTTTTCAAAATTTTAATTGTTATTGTAGTATTTTTCTGTGAAATGTTTGCTTAAAGCTGTTCAATTTGTGCATCCTGGTTAACTGGTGTGCCATGTATGCCATGGGATTTCTGTCACCGTCGTCACTCCTGTTAAAAAATTAGAAACGTTTGTTTCATATATTTGTGTCTGGCAGCACAATCTGGTTTTGTCATGATTTTAAGGCGTAACGAATAACAAAAATATATTCTTCTGCCGTTTTGGCATGATTTTAAAGCTCAGTGAATAACAAAAAATACATTCGTTTGCCCGCTACAAGGTTTGGCCCGCAAATGCTTGCCAAGTCTAGCCCACGGCCCAGCTAAAAGCCCGCAGGCACTTGCGGGTCAGAAATTGGCGGGTTGGCGGGCTGAAAATCTGCATCTCTAGTCCGTCACCAGCGCAGGTCTGTACAGCCCATCTGCCCTCATCGTCACGCTTTTGTTGAACAAAGGAAATTCCAAACCAAGAAAAGTTGTGCGTCATCAATTGGTGCAAACAGCACTAAGCACTGAGTCGGTGAGGTGACACAGGTGATACCGGTTGGCCAATTGTCGGTTGCCCAATTGTAAACTTGACACCAATCGACAGGGTACAGTCGCCCATAGCAAGCGTCTCCGCCAGATTCCCTGGTACCCGCGAATTCCGTCCCTCCGTTGCAAACGGACTGCCGCAGCTAGCGACGTCGCTCAACGAGCGTCCATGCATGAAATCCGGCGGCCGCCTGCCGAGCCTGCCGCGGACGTCGGGCGCGGGCCGGCGCGCACTGACCGATGCTGAGATGCCGTTGCGGGAGAGCCGTGCGCCGGCCGGCCCCAGCTCCAGCTTTTGCAGGTTCGGCAGCAGCTGCAGCACATGCTTGAACCGCTGGTCGGTCAGCACCGGGTGCCGCTGCAGGTGCATCGGGCCGAAGTACCGGTTCAGGTTGATCTGACGCACATGAGCGAAGGCTGAGCTGGCACAGCTCCCTCCAGCGGCGGGCACACTGTCAGGCACAGGCACCAGCGCTCTACAGACGCCGTATACTGCGGAGAGCGACCCTGACACACGCGCACGCAGCTCAGTCTAGCGGTCACGCTGTCAGCAGACGCTTGTCATGAACAGTCCGCTCCAGCGGCGGCACACTCTCCGACAGGCGCCTGCTACAAGCAGCTCGGGTGAGCAGTCGTACACTGCAAGCGGTCACCTATCCGGCACCGCCGATACCAGCGGCACCGCCACGGCCATCACCTGGCACCAGTCGGTCAGCTCAGCGTCACACCACCAGCAGTCACCAGTCGGCATGACTCCCCCAGTGGAGCAGCCCGGCGTCCTCGCCTCCCCCCACGCAGCCGCCCGTCCCGTACCGGCGCGCACGCGGATCCTGTCGCGCACGTTCAGGTGCGCCAGCAGGTAGAGCAGCACCTCCTCGGGCAGGCCGTTGATGTGCGGTGCCGCCGGCGGCCGGGGCTCGGCGGCCGGCGGCGCGCGCCGCTCGCTGCGCGCCGGCCGCCGCTGGCCGGCCGGCGGCGCTTGGCCGGCCGCCGCGCTGGCCCATCCGGCCGCCGACGGCGGCGTCGCATGCTGCGTGCGCTTCCGCAGCCGCTGCGACCAGCTGTCGGCGTCCATGGAGGCGACGCGGCCGGCACTGCGGGCGGGCGGGTTACGGACGGGCAGCGTGAAGGTGCGGTGGTCCGCTGGTCAGGGCCGTGGACCGTGACCACGGACGGCACGACGGCACGGCACTGCTGAAGACGGCACGGCACGGAGAGCGCGGGCTGAAGACGGCACGGCACGGAGAGCGCGCCATTACTCGACCACCGACCACGCGAGATGATTAACTATCTAGCTTCCAAGACTGTGAATACATATGAGTGCTGAATTGATTGCTAGGCAGTGCAAACTGCCATTGGTCTGATATGTGTGTTAAAAGTTGTCCTGGCTTGAGTAACTATTTGAGCAAATAACATTATGTTGACTACAAGCAAGGCCAACAGTCAAGTGTGTTATCACATAAACTGGCACTTTTTAAGCTTTAACAGCCTTCATAGTTGTCACTTGTCATATCAGTAAGCACTGTTTCAGTAAAAGGAGTTTTAAGTATTGAACTGCAATAATGCCATATTTGCATGCATGCTATGGCAGCAGTAGGCATTTTCCTGCAACACTGCAGGATGCCAGAACTTCCCTCCCCCATCCTATCCAGATGGGAACAGGTCTAGGCATAAGCAAACCTGTAGGCCAGGCTGTGCAGCTGGTCATGTCCACCTTGGTGCCACCCTGGGATCCACACCTTTCAATGCAGTTAGGGATTCACAATCTTTGAACATTTAAATGATTGCTGTCTGACAAGCAAATGCAAATGGGTTTGATAAAGATCTGTCACTAACTGCCTGATGAGGTGGAATATAATGCCTCAAAATCAATGGGCAATCTTATCACTGGGCAACTCAAAGGTGTGTCAGTGGCTGCCCAGGAAGTGATCACTGCTGCTTTTCAATCAGCTCTTGAATGCCCACATGGGATGTGGCTTAACTCAGGGCTGGGCAATGGAAATGGCACAGGCATGATATCCAGCTCCATGCTGTCAATATTCACCCAAAATATAAATGTTATGTTGTGACTTCTTTGACTATGCTAAAAGAAAATGTGCATTATCAAACCCATCAAAGCCTTATCCAGAACATGTTTGAACTTGTCTGCTGCCAGGTCATCACCAAGTCATGTTTGTTGTGAATAGGTGCCCAACTGTACCTTGGCAAACATTTCTTTCTTCTAAAAGAAATGAAAAAAGAAATGCCCCAGTACAATGATCAGAGCCATTACCATGAGTTCCCACAGCTTATTTTCCTCTCAAAACAAATATCATAGGCTAAAACACGTTTTGCCCCAAACTACCATTGGTTTGGTTCATGCCTGCATAACTGCTTTTTAAATACCAGCCATGTCCCTTCCAGTGCACTCCAGTCACCTGATCTCATTATTCATGCAAATGGCATCTAATATTGGAGAATCATGCTGATCTGATTTCTCATGAGTTAGACATGTCCCAGATTGACATAATATTTGAATTAGTCCTGCATTGTTCCATCATGAACATGCTATTGATCCAAATGTGCTGGTT